CCCCAAAACCCCAAAACCCCAAAACCCCTTAAAAAACAGGAGAATTGAAGGTAAATTTATTTTACAAGGAGTCTAATTATTATCAGAATAATGTCAAACAAAGAGTTATTCTACAACTTTATCACAAGTAGATCAATCTCTACGAATGATGTGACACTTGGGTCTACCACAGTTGAGTCTCTTCGCACAACTGAGGAGCTAGAGAAACCTTCAGAAGGAATTTTAGCTCAAAAAGGATCAGAAATCAAGGTTGGAGAAGGACAGTTTTGTGAAAAAGATCAGCTTAGTGTTAATTCTGAGGAGTCAGAGGAGATTCTCCAGCCAAGCTTTATACAATCTATCGTGATCAAGGATAAATCTAATCAAGTCATACATATCGACAGATGCTCACAGCAGGAGTTTTGGAGGTAAGATCCTTAAAATGTACAATTTATGTTAGGCCTTCAATGATTTTTTAATTTAGGCTAGACAGGAAAGGAACTGAGAATACTACTATTACATCTTGAAAGTACCGCCCAGTGCTTCAAGACAAGTCTTCTGGTACGTTGAGACACGATTCATCCCAGTCCTTTGAGAACTCATATTGGGGAAACCTTTTACCAACTTATCCTAACCTTTTACAGGCCGATCTGAAATAGACAATTACACAAGACGAACGTTTCAAAATTCTGCTAAGGAATATAAAGTAAGTGATCACGAAAATATTTCATTCTGATCAGACCTTCTTTAGAAAAAACCTGAAGTGCCCAGAAGTGACTTAAAAGAGGTATTTAGGTGTCTGTGTGATGATTTAGGCAAGAGATAAGTTATTAATGAAAAATAATGAGAAGAAGAGGAGTAAGAGTGGTTGGATATTAGGATTAGATTTTTACAAGAATTAGGATTAGGAGAATAGATATGGGAAATTAGAGGTGTTTTTATGGGTAGGGAAATGAATTTGGTGCCGAATCTCTATAAATAGGCTTTTGGGAGATAAGTTTGAGTTTTAGAAGGGGTTGAGTTGAGTTTTTAAATTTGGATTTTTGTAATGAATGTTTGCTTATTTTTCTGATATAGATGATTATTTCAATAATGTTGAGAGAAAAGATAGGAAGTTCTTAAATCATCACTCTAATTTCCCAACCAAGATTACCATGTGTGCAACAAACAAGATTAGATGTGTCAATCTAAGTGGTGAGCGTTTTTAAACTTAATTTTTAGGTAGAAAAGGATTAAATACTTGCGTTAAAAAATTGAAAACTAACCGAATCAAACTAAAGCTGAAGAACCGTGCAATCAATGAGTTCATCCCACATACTCCTAAAAAGTCTAAAAAGATAAAAATATTTACATCAGAAATAAAGATAAGAAAACAAAAGCGTGCTTGAGACCCATATTCCTCATCATTCGTCAAAAAGACTAAATCCCAACAAAAATCCCAAAATGACAGCAGAAGCTCTTCTTCGATCAAACACCCTATTTTCCAAGCTATCCAACTTTACAACCAATATCACTCTCAAATAAGCCAAAGCCACACCCCTCCCTCCTACGAGCAGTACACTCCCAGCTCCCTTGACTTCCTTAAAGCGTTCACAACCCCCACTCAAACCATCTCAAAACCCATCACCCAAAGATCTCTCTCAAAACCCTCTGCACGGACACTCAAAACAGCCAAAATTCCAAACAGGCCCATTAAGACCCCGCAGAAGGGCTCTTCGGAGCCCTTCTGCGGGGCCAAGGATTATATCAGAATAATCCAAGAGGGTTCTTCTGCATGTCTGAAGCCCAGACTTGGAAGAATTATCAGAAGATCTGATCATATTTCCTAGACTGAACCACCGGATGCCGGTGGTTTGGCTGGAAGAAATGATTCCTTATAATTCAACAAAGGTATACTCCAACGGGGTTTTGGGGTTTTGGGGTTTTGGGGTTTTGGGGTTTTGGGGTTTTGGGG